AAATACCCAAAAAAAGAGAAGTAATTGTATATGATGATATTTGGTATTTTAAAGTTGATTTGGTATCATGTTAATTGGTTTTCAATCATCAATGTATGGAGCACCTAGCTATTAGTAACACGTACTAAAATAATCTCTTTAATACAAGATTGCATCTATACTTCCTTTACAGATTTCACAAACTTAGAAAATTATAAATAAACTTGAGACGTGATAGTTATTTTCTCCTTTTTTTGTCAACAATACTGGGCTATAGAAACAAACAATGCATACATATGATGAATATGGATTTTTAAACATAAAACCACTAGTTCAATAAGAGCATGTTCATTGGGGTATTCTCAAATGTGTTCTTAAAATATAAAATTATTAAAACACACACTCTCTTCCTTTTACTCAATTTTATACCTTCTCTTTCATCTTTTTACTCAACTTTTATTAATTTTATATTTAAACACTCTCACTTCATTTTGAGAATACTATCTAAAAGTACTACTTTAAGAACACTCTCTTTTCCTTTTACTCAACTTTTATTAATTTTATATTTAAACACTCTCATTTCATTTTGAGAACACTATCTAAAAGTACTATTTTAAGAACACTCTCTTTTCCTTTTACTCAACTTTTATTAATTTTATATTTAAACACACCCACTATCTTCTCTCTTTACTCAAATTTTATTAATTTTATATTCAATACACCCCACAAAAACACTCTCTTTCTTCTTTTTACTCAAATTTTAATAATTTTATATTTTAAGAACACACTTGAGAGCACCCCAATGAACATGCTCTAAGTTATAGTTATAATAACCAAGAAAATGATTTTCTTTTTGTTTTTTTATAAAATATCATATTCTACAAGAATCTCCCCTTTGGTGAAGTCTGCCAAAACATATTTTTGTTTTTCCCTTCTTTAATCCATAACATTTGCTACTGTTAAGTTGCAAAAAAAAAAAACATTTGCTACTGTCCAATTGATATTCCAACTTAGATTCATCAATATTGGGCTACAAAAACAAACCATGCATACGTTTAAAAGAAAATAGGTAGAACAAGGCCCAGGCTTTCAAATGTATGCATTGTTCGTAATTTTAAAAAGTTTTTGAAAAAAAAAAAATCTTATTATTAAAAATTATAACCAAAAACATAATTTTTTTAATAATATTATATTCCACAGGAATTTCCCCCCGGTCCACCAAATGTGAATAAATTTGTTTTCCCTCTTCTTAATCCATAACATTTTTCACTGTCTAATAGATACTCCAACTTACGTTTACCAAGTAATCTGAATATAAAACTAGAATCTTTGATGAGAATATCTGCAACGCGCGCCGATTCCATATCATTTTTGGTTGGCAGATGACCATTACCCATTGGTGGACTTATACCAGAAGGAGAAGCTTGAACTGCTCCTCCAACTCCAATTGTATTCACACCATTATCTAGGAGATCAAATAGTTCTTTTGGCCAATAACCAATATTAATATCATGTTTATTGTATTGTACATTTGTTCTCCACCAATGTCCTGTTTTTTTATCCTTCAACAAAAAGTAAATAAATAAAAAATATGTTACATGTTAGATTTGATGTATATTGTAAAGAAAAAAATAAGCAAAAGTTATATAATATCATGTTAGAATTGAATTATTCAAAAAGAACAAACAAAAGAGTACCTAGGACTAGGACCGTGTATTTGATCCATCATGCATTTTACCATACATCT